TGAACAAACCCTAAACCCTCGTGAACAAACCCTAAACCCTCGTGAACAAACCCTAAACCCTCGTAAACCCTAAATCGTCGTGAACAAGCCCTAAACCCTCGTAAACCCTAAATCGTCGTGAACAAACCCTAAACCCTCGTAAACCCTAAACCGTCGTGAACAAACCCTAAACCCTCGTAAACCCTAAACCCTCGTAAACTCTAAACCCTCGTGAACAAACCCTAAACACTTCACAACCCTACTCTAAACCCTCAAATTAACCCTCCACAGTAAACCTTCGTTTAAACCCCTAAACCCTAAACCCTAAACCCTAAACAATCGTAAACAATCAGTTTAATATAAACCCTAGACCCTCATGAACCCTAATACGAAAACCCTAAACCCTCATAAACCCTCATATAAACCCTAGCAAACACAAATAAACCCTCGTAAGGCCTATAACCAGCAATAAACCCCGACATAGCACTGCAAACCCTAGCAAACCCTAATAAACCCCCGATGCCGACATAAACCCTTCCTAAACCCTCACAAACCCTAAACCCCCAATAAACCCTACAAACCCTAATAAACCCCAGCGCGCTGTACAATACCCTAACGAACCCCGGAAACCCTTAACAATAAACCCTCATAAACCCTCATAAACCCTCATAAACCCCCCTGAACCTTCATAAACCCTCATAAACCCTCATAAACCTTCATAAACCCTCATGAACCCTCATGAACCCTCATGAACCCTCATAAACCCTCATAAACCCTCATACACCATCATAAACCCTCACAAACCCTCATAAACCCTCATAAACCCCCCTAAACCCCCCTAAACCCTCATAAACCCTCATAAACCCTCATAAACCCTCGTGAAGCGTTACCCTGTGGAGATGAGATTGCCTTTGATTGCAATGAATGTGTCTCGTCCCCAGTTGCGCATGAAAGAAGTCGCGAAGTGCGGGAGACCGGCAGCAAGGCTGGGATCGTGCGATCCCCAGATGAGTGGGGCAGAAGGAACATAAGCATAGAACTGTAGCGTTGCAAGAGCTAGGTGCAGCAGCAAGGGGTCTGCTGTTGCTGCTGCAGCTGCTGCTGCTGCAGTAGGAGCAGCAGAAGTAGAAGCAGCAGAAGCAATTGTACGCGCAGCAACAGCAGCAGCAGCTTTGTCAGACAGCAAGCCTGATGCAGCAGGAATACGAGAAAGTATTAAAACCCCTACCTGCGCATACACCCCACTGAATAGCCTATCAATAATATAGGGTCTAAGCGAGTTATATCCTTTGAGCCGCTGCAGCAGATTGTATGTTTGCTGCAGCTGCTGCTGCAGCGGCAGCAACGTAGGTATATCTGTAAGCCTCTCTGCTGCATACTGCAGCAGCCACAAACCCTCTGACAGATTCTCGCAGATTGGTGCTTGCTGCTGCTCTCGCTGCTGCAGCTTCCTTGCTGCATCAAGAGCAGCACAAGCTCCGGCTAAGCCAGCATACACTAGAGGGCCTTGAGAGGGTAATGCATATACACCCCGTGAGCCTGAAGAAATATCTCTTTCTTCTGCGTCGCATCTAAAGAGAAGATGATTAATATCAGCTGCTTCTGCTGCTGATAGCAATGAAGGAGCTCGCATTATTGTCTCACGTAGCTGCTGCTGCAGCTGCTGCAGCAGCAATCTGTCCTCTAACCCCGTAAAGATTACAGCAATAGATCCGGGGGCAAATGAATGTAAAGATAAAGATGTCACACCTTCTTCTGAGCTGTATGTACACCTCGCTATATCGGATATGCTGCTGTGCACATACGAACAACCCTCAACACCGTTTATTATATCTTTTAACTCTTTAAATGAATATATCGCCTCACGACCCCCACAGAAAGATGCTATGATAGGAACCTCTTCTATTCTCCCGCTCAGTTCTATCTAAAGCACACAAAAACAAACAAACTAACAAACAAATAACCCTTATTAATCCTTCAAAACCCTAAATAACCCTTTTAAAACCCTTAAAACCCTTAAAAACCCTTAAAAACCCTTAAAAACCATAAACCCTAAACCCTAAACCCTTAAAACCCTTCTTTTAAAGCCTTAAAAACTCTCCAAAACCCTTATTTAAAACCCTTATTATAAAGATCAATTATAAAACCCTACGAAACCCTTTATAACCCTAAACCCTAGTCGGTGTGCATAACGCAAAAACCCTCGCGCGAAGATGTGAGAGAAATCGGAGAGCAAACGGAAACTCAGAAGAGGGTTTAGGGTTTAGGGTTTAGGGTTATTCGAAGCTGGTTAGGGTTTCTATTTGAGGGTTTTAGTGGGGGCTAGGGTTTAGTAGGGTCCTTTGGGGTTTGAAGGTGAGGGTTTAGGGTTTGCTGTTCATTAGGGTTTAGGGTTAATTAGGGGTATTTGAAATTGCGCAAGGAGGGTTTAGGGTTTACTGCTACTGAGGGTTTAGGGTTTGCTGTGGAAGCTGGTGGGGTGTAGAGTGTGTTAGGGTTAATTAGGGTTTAGAGCTTTTGAGGGTTTAGGGTTTAGCGTTTAGGGTGTTTTAGCGTTATAAAGGTTTTTATGAAGTGGGTTGCTTAGGGTTTAGGGTTTAGGGTTTAAGGTGCTTCGTAGGGTTATAAACAATTTTTTCTGCCTCTATATAATTATATAGGGCTGTTAACAATTCTTTAGAGTTTATACGGGTTTGTTAGAACTACTTAGGGTTTAGGGTTTAGGGTTTAGGGTTTAGGGTTTAGGGTTTAGGGTTTAGGGTTTAGGGTTTGCGCATACTGTGGGTAGCGGCGAGCCGGAGGGATTTGGGGTGTATGCGCAGCGCAAGATGGTGTAGCAGCACTGAAGAGAGTGCGGATTTAATCTTTTAATTACAATTACATCATCGCCAAACAGAGCCGCAGAGAAATGCATAAAACCCTCAGCCGCCAGACGCACATGCAGCTTATTCAATAAAGGCCGAACCCCTAACAAACCCGGAAGACTCCCTGAAACGCAAACCCTAAACCCTAAACCCTAAACCCTAAACCCTAAACCCTAAACCCCAAAGTATTACCCTAAGCCATAAAGTACCCTATATTACCTCGCAAGAACAATAAACCCGAAAGACCATATTAAATCTCAATAACACTAAACCCTAAACCCTAAACTGACAACAAACCCGAAAAACGAAATGGAACGCAAACCCTAAACCCTAAACCCTAAACCCTAAACCTCCCTAAACCCTAAACCCTCAGTATCCCTATGTAACAACCCTAAAGAAACCCTAGCATCCCTAAACAACCCTCAACAGCCCTAGACGAACACATACAAAAGCCCCAAACCCTAAACCCTAAACCCTAAACCCTAAACCCTAAACCCTAAACCTTAAACGCCCCAGTGGCTGAACAAAGCCCTTGCAGGCTGAGGGAAGCAGACGCGTGATTGTGTAATAGTAACGCAATTTAAGGTTTAGGGTTTAGGGTTTAGGGTTTAGGGTTTACCGGGTGGTTGTTTGCCTGGTAGAGCAACAACATTGTTTGTGTTTCCGCTTGCGTCTGTGATGGTTGGGGTGTATCTTGAGCATTTCCAGACGCCATCAACAATAAATTTGAACTGTAATGCATTAACAGATTTATTATTTACTTTGAAGCATTCGGAGCTCAACATACACCTGAAAACCCCGTCGTCTCCTCGAATTAATTCTTTATCTTTCGTCCATCCATCCCACTCACCTCTAATAACAACATTATTTGCTGCTTCTCTCCAAGACACTTCAACGCCTTCATCTGCTGCTGCTGCTGCTGCTTCTGGTGGTGGTGGTTCTGCTGCTGCTGCTGCTGTTGCTGCTGCTGCGCCGTGTTTCCCTCTCCCTCCTCCTGCTGCAGCTCCTGCTGCTGCTGCTGCTGCTGTTGTTGGGTCTCTAATAGGTATTTCAGCATGATAGTCTTTATATAATCTTCTCTCAGAAACAACAGAGAGGGTCTTAGGTACGAGCTCATCGGTGCCTCGGGTGCTGCCGCATGCAGCAGCAACAGCAGCAGCAGCAGCAGCAAATGCAAGTGTTGCTGCAGGTGTAAACTTCGAAGCTGCAGGCTCATTGTCGTGTGTACAATCGTAAAATAGAGCAGGGCAAATACAAACAGGAAGCGGCAGCAAAACTGTCCCTGGTGCTGCTGCTGTTGCTGCTGCTGCTGCTGCTGCTGCTGCTGCTGCACCTGCAGGAGGAGAAGAAGGAGGTGCAGCAGCAGCAGCTGCTGCTGCTCCTCCTCGTTCATCAACACCAAGAGCAGCAATTGCAGCACCTGCTGCTCCTGGGAGCTGAAGCAATGAAGGCCTAGGGTCTAGAGCCCCCACTGCATGCATCCCGCCAAACTGCTGCAGCTGCAGCAGCAAATCATGCGGTGTATATGTTTGAAGTGCTTCTCTAATTAATGCATTTAACCCTAAACAAGAAACAAAATATAAATCAGCGCGTTGGTCACCAGTAAATAACTCCGCATACACCCAAATGTCTGGACGTACACGACGGCATTCACGTAGCATGTGCTGCACACACAACAAACCCTAAACCCTTAACCCTAAACCCTAAACCCTAAACCCTAAACCCTAACCAACCCTAAACCCTAACCAACCCTAAAAGACTCCACGCAAACTTATTCCACCCCAACCACCCCTAAGCAACCCTAAATAACCCTAACTGACATTAAACAACACTGAACAAGGGTAAATAAACCTAAACCCTAAACCCTAAACCCTAAACCCTAAACCCTACCTCGGCCACGTGAATAGGAGTAGAGTGGCAGTTGTCGAGGCGAACTGCTGGAAATACTTCTGCGGTGTATCTGCAGTACTTGCCCATCATCTCCCACAAGAAAGGAGACTCTTCAGGGCAAGACCCGTACCTAAAACCACAAACCCTAAACCCTAAACCCTAAACCCTAAACCCTAGCAAACCCTAAACCCTTAATACCCCTCAAAAATCCTACATTTAAAAAAAAATATATATATATATAACCCTAAAGAGCCATCATCTCTCACAAGAAAGGAGGCAAGGAGCGTACCTAAACCCTAAACCCTAAACCCCAAACCCTAAACCCTAATTAACCATAGGTAAGCCAACAAAACCCTCTTCTTGAAGCGATGAAGTGTACAGTACATTTGGTGAGAGAGGACAGTGTCTGTTGGGTGCTGCTGTGTCGCGACGCCAGGGCCTAGGGTTTAGGGTTTAGGGTTTAGGGTTTATACCTGAGCTTGACGCAGTCAGACCAAACAACAAGCTGTCTCTTTAAATACACAAGAGATCCGGGGGCTGCGAAGTCTTTGGTTGCATCCCAGTTCATAACCCAACCATTATTAGCAAATGCAATATAATCTTCACTGCTGCTGCTGCTGCTGCTGCTGCTGCTGCTGCTGCTGCTGCTGCTGCTGCTGCGGTTGCGGGGTATCAGAGTAAAGTAAGGAGGAACGAGAGGGTTTGTAGGTGTGATAGGGCCTCGCTTGCATTGCAGCCGTTCATAACGTACTAGGCCTTCAATAGCAGCAGCAGCAGCAGCTTCACATTCTGCTGCTGCTGCTACTAGCTGCTCTTTTGTTGCTCTCAGAGCTTGCTGCAGCTCAGCAGCAAATTCTAATGAGGGATACAGCTGCAGCAGCAAATCTATGCTAACTGAAACACCAACGCGACGCGCCTTCCCGCACTCCCGCAACGCCTGCCCACACAAACCCTAAACCCTAAACCCTAAACCCTAAACCCTAAACCCTAAATAATTGCCCTAAATAACCACCGTACATAATAACCCTGAACATTCACCCTATATAATAACCCTAAACCATAAACCCTAAACCCTAAACCATAAACCCTAAACCCTATACCCTAAATAACCCTATATAACCCTAAACCCTAAATAACTCTCAACCCTCTACATGCACTCCCAGTCGGCTCAACCCCTCAGAATAATAAACCCTATTCCTAAACCCTAATTATAAACCCTAACTGCAAACCCTAGACCCTAATTGTAAACCCAAATCGTAAACCCAAATCATAAACCCTAATCATGACCCCGAATCATAAACCCTAATCGTAAACCCTAAACCCTAATCGTAAACCCTAACTGTAAACCACGTGTATAAACGCTAATTGTGTGTTTATATTTATATCTTACCGCCTGTACGAGTGTATCGAGCTTTTCTTCTTTAGTCTTGATGAGGGTTTGAGGGGTATGCTGAGGGTTTAGGGTTTTGACAGAGCAGAGCTGCCTCTCCCAAGCAAGAAAAAGAGAGTCCGGCTCGATAACAAACCACTCAAAGAAGTGAAAGGGTTTAAGGGTTGTCTCTCTTAATGCATGCATAACCCTTTGAAGGTCTTCTTCATTATTTATGCTGTCTGTACACCCAAAGTTGCTGCACAATTCTTTACGATGTAATCTCAAAGAAAACTCTCTCAGCGCTATGTCTAATTCAACTGCTGCACGCAAGTGAGCAGAATTCTCCAGTGTATACCTGACACACAAACCCTAAACCCTAAACCCTAAACCCTAAACCCTAAACCTTAAATAACCCTATATATAACCCTATATATAACCCTATATATAACCCTAAATAACATTAAATAACCCCAAATTACCCTAAACCCTAAACCCTAAACCCTAAATAATAACCGTGTTTCAACCCTAAACCCTGATTCTCGGTGGTCCACCAGCCACGGGCTGTTGCTGGCAACCCTAAACCCTAAACCCTAAACCCTAAACCCTCACGCTGCCTCTGAATGGTCCGCTAGCCATGCGCTGTGGCTGGCAACCCTAAACCCTAGACCCCAAACCCTAAACCCTAAACCCTCACCCTGCTCCTGGGTGGTCCGCGAGCCAGGGGCTGTTGCTGGCAACCCTAAACCCTAGACCCCAAACCCTAAACCCTAAACCCTAAACCCTTACCCTGCTTCCGGGTGATCCGCGAGCCAGGGGCTGTTGCTTGCAGTGTGGTTAAGAACTAAATCTGTTGCAGACAATATTCCCAGCTCCTGCTCAAGCATTGAGACAGCAGCACCAACAGCTTTATAACCTTCTTCTGCTGCTGGTGCTGCTGCTGCTGCTGCTGCTGCTCCCTGCCTCGACGATGCCGCCTTCTCTTCAGGCTCTTCGCGGAAGAAGAAAGGATCAATTTCTAATTGATTCGCGAGACTAAACCACACAAACCCTAAACCCTAAACCCTAAACCCTAAACCCTAAACCCTAATGGACCCAACGCCCTGACATGTAACACCACCCAAAAAAGGGTTAATGTTTTCCTCAATAGAGGGAGGGAGGGGTTTATGCTTTCAAATGCCGAGGGTTTAGGGTTTAGGGTTTAGGGTTTAGGGTTTAGGGCACCTGTAGCAGCTTCCCGATTCGCCCACCGTCTGAAGGGGGGTTAAGTGAACCATATTAAAACCCATCTCTTTTACGTGCTCAAACCTAAACCCCAAACAAACAACAAATAAACAATCGCCTTCATCTGCTGCTGCTGCTGCTGTTGCTGCTGCTGCTGCTGCTGCTGTTGCTGCTGTCGTTGTTGCTGCTGCTGTTGCTGCTGCTGCTGCTGCTGTTGCTGTTGCTGTTGCTGTTGCTACTGTTGCATAGCCGTTGAACTGGTGTGCTTGGTTAAGATATGAAGCTTGCAGAAGAGGTAGGGTTTAGGGTTTAGGGTTTAGGGTTTCGTACATGCGTCGCCAGCGTTTGATGCCGCCTAGACACCTGGAGAGTGCTGTCTGTACAGTGAGGGCTTCAGCGGGAATTGGTTTGCCTTTTAATGTAAGAACAGGCTGCACAATAATGTAGCTGCAGGGCCCCCATTCTTGCTGCTGCTCCTGCTGCTGCTGCTGCTGCTGCTGCTGCTGCTGAGGTTGAGCAGGAGACAGCTGTCTTACTGCGCCCGAAGGAGAGCTTGTGGCTGTAGAGGGACCGCCAGAGCAGCAATCACCTCCAAAAGACAAGTTGATCTTGTAAGGGCCTAAACCACAAACCCTAAGCCCTAAACCCTAAACCCTAAACCCTCAAAGCAACAGCAGCAAGCTCCCCCTGAAAGGGATCGGGTTATCCGCTTCGGTCTGATGCTAAAGACTCCAGAGATACCACACTGCCTTGCAGTGTGTAAGCCCTAGGGTTTAGGGTTTAGGGTTTAGGGTTTACCGGGTATATCTGCATTGAATATAAAAGTAAGATGCCCTAATGTATCCTTCCTGCTGTCGAGTTGGTGTTTATTTCCTAGAGGGTCGGTGGCTATACACCCCGTGACTGCAGCTTTTTGCGTGCCTTCATAAGCCTTTAGAAGCACCAGGGATCCTGCACAAACCCTAAACCCTAAACCCTAAACCCTAAACCCTAGGCAGGCGCACACACGCGTCTGTGACGCAAAACAACCCAAGAAACCAGGTATACGCCCTCCATATTCGATCTCTTCCTCTTTATCATACCCCTAGGGTTTAGGGTTTAGGGTTTAGGGTTTAGGGTTTGGAGATCAGGGCTCAGAATTGGGGTGTTAACATCCTGACGGCTGCGAGAGCGGCAGCTGCAGCTGCGTGTGGTAGGACGGGTGTTGAGGGTTTAGGGTTTAGGGTTTAGGGTTTAGGGTTTACCCTTTTGAATCTGAAAATTACCAAACTGCCCGAATTTGTTTATAACGCCCAACTCATCAAATTCTGCAAAATATACACCGCGGCCTTCAGGTGTATACGGAGTGCTGGTGCCGGTGCTGGGGGGTCCCGGGGCGTCGCGCCTCATTTTGGAGATTTAAATTGATTTAATTGAATTTAATTGAGTAAAAAATGATAGAAAAAACAGATAGAAGAAGAAAATTTAGCCGCCATTCTTCAGGTGTACGTACACCCCAGCAGCCCGACGGTCTCGACCTGCGGGCACATGCGCTGTCGCTACGCAAGGCATCGGAGGCGAGGTGTTTTATGTATAAAATTATTAAATTTATTTATTTTTTTCAATTTAAATAGATTTAAAACGTCTTTTCCATTCTTTTTAACCCCAGAAACATTAATTTATTACACTAAGATCGCTCGTCGAGCACACCTTATGCAGGAGCCCCCAGCCGCACGACCCCTCGCTGTTCTCTGTTTTCTTATCTCTTTGAGTATTTCATTATATCCTCTTGATTAAAATTAAATAATTTAATCTATTTTAAATCTTTATTATCTCTTTTCCAGGGTTTATTTGAAGAAAATCGCCGCTATAATGCCTCCGTCGCTCCCCTGGCCATTGGGCCGCTCTTCAGGTGTACGGTCACCTCCGCCAACCCCGCTAAACCCTAAACCCTAAACCCTAAACCCTAAACCCTAGCATGAAAGGCTGAAATATGATTTTTATGCTTCATTGAGCAATGGGTTCACGCTGAGACGCTCAGCTTCTCCAGCCTTGTTACCTTGTCCACTCTGCTTGGGGTTTAGGGTTTAGGGTTTAGGGTTTAGGGTTTAGCTTCTTCACCTCGCTAGCGTCAGATATGATATATGGAGTTTTATTTATTTTTTTTCTTTTTTTTCTAAACCCTCGAGGGTTTAGGGTTTAGGGTTTAGGAGTGGCTGGCTATACACAGCAACCCCCAGAGTACTAATATATATAATGTCTTTCTTTGCTTTACATGCATAAAATATATTTATTTGATTTATATACAGTTCTGATCCCCGTACAAAGGCAAACAAACAAATAATATTAACCCTAATAGGCGGCCGCATGCAGCCCCAAACTCAGGGCCTTTGTTTTAACTTTCACGCAAATGTTTGGCGTACATACACATCACTGTTTAGAAGTCAATATATCTATAAATTTACTCTCAGATATATAAACATAAACATATATTTATATACATTTATTTATTTATTTATTTATATGCACCCATTTATGTTAATATGTGTTTAATATATGTATATATATATATATACATATATATATATATATATATATACATATATATATATATATGTGTGTATTAGTAGGTAAATGTATACCTACTAAAGCGAATGCTGTATAAAATATAAAATATATTTTTATATAAATTACA